TCGGAATATCTTTAAGACAGCTGTTTTAAAGTTTTTGTCTAGTAGATCTGCCATCAGATCTTCTTTCAGGAACAGTTTCTGTTGATTCACTTTTTTCTTTTGAATGGACCATACTTTCCTGTTTCTTTATATGACTTCTGGGTTTTTGTTGAACACTGGACATTTGAATCTAATAAGATGGTAACTCTGGAAATTCACCTCCTTCCTCAGTTTTCTGGGTTTTTTTCCTTATTGTTTTTATTTTATTTTTTAATTTTTGCAGGCTTTCTCTGTGCCAAGGATCATCCTGAGGTGTAAATTAAGGTCCCTTTCCTGATTTGCAAGAAAGCTTTAGGATGCTCCTGCACTACTCTCCACTAACTTGCAATCTACTGACAAAACTATATAATTTTCAGATTTTATGTATATTCAAAGACAAAATCAAAGAATACCTTAATAGAAATTCATAATACAGCTAACAAGTAAGAAATATATAAAAGGAATAAGTTAAGTGACTCAAGATTTAAATCACCCAGGAAAAGATAATCGACATAATGTATAAACAAATATTATATGCTTCATATTCTACCTGTTAATATTCCTTTCTATTCTTTTCCTTTATAAATTGTAAATTTTAATTTTCTAAGGGCCATGTTTATCTTCTCAGGATCAACAAAGGGAATTTCAGTGCCCAGCTTTGATTATAGGCCTTCCTGACTGTTGGTAAAAAAAAAAAAAAAATCTCTTGAGTGGGGAGTTCAAGCCATTCATATTCATTGAGAGAACTGATAGGTGGAGCAGATTTCTGTTCATTCTGTTGGGTTGAACTTTGTTGCTTTGTTTTCTCTCTTGAGCCATTGTGGTATCTGGCCTTTGATCTTTAGCTTTTGAGTGGTTTTACATTCGTGAGTGTTTATTGTGCTGATCCGAAGGTAACACTGTTTTGAGTGCTTCTTGGAGGGCTGGCCTTGTCTTGGTGAATTCCTCATTCTTTGCTGAGGCATCTGAGAATGTCTTTATTGCTCCTTCATATATAAAACTTAGTTTTGCAGGGTACAAGATCCTAGGCTGGGCATTATTCTGTTTTAGAAGAGTGAGAATGGGCCCCAGTCTCTCCTTGCTTGTAAGTTTTCTGCAGAGAAGTCTGGCTGATCATTTTTCACAGATATAGAAAAAATAATTTTATGTTTTGTATGGAACCAGAGCAGACCCCATATAGCAAAAGCAATCCTAGGCAATAAAAGCAAAATGGAGGGTATCAATTTATCAGACTTCAAATTATACTACACAAGGCTATAGTAATTAAAACATCTTGGTATTGGTGCAAGAACAGGGACATTGACCAGTGGAACAGAACAGAGAACCCAGATATAAAACCATCCTCATATAGCCATCTAATCTTTGACAAAGAAGACAAAAACATACACTGGGGAAAAGAATCCTTATTCAATAAATAGTGCTGGGGAAACTGGATAACACATGTAGAAGACTGAAACAGGATCCACACCTTTCACCTCTCACAAAAATCAACTCACGCTGGGTAACAGACTTAAACCTAAAGTGTGAAACTATTAGAATTCTAGAGGAAAACGTTGGACATACTCTTCTAGACATTGGCCTAGGCAAAGAATTTATGAAGAAGACCCCGAAGGCAATCACAGCATGAACAAAAATAAACAAATGGGACCTGATCATATTAAAAAGCCTCTGCATAGCCAAAGAAAGTGTCAAAAGAGAGCAAACAGACAACCCACAGAATGGGAGAAAATTTTCTCACGCTACACATCTGATAAAGGACTGATAACTAGAATCTATTTAGACTCAGGAAAATCAGCAAGAAAAATCACACAACCCTATCAAAAAATGGGACATGAACAGAAACTTCTCAAAAGAAGACAGAATAATGGCCAACAAACATATGAAAAAATGCTCAACATCTCCAATCATCAAGGAAATGCAAATCAAAACCACAATGAGATATCACTTATCTCCAGTGAGAATGGCCTTTATTAACAAGTTCCAAAATAACAAATATTGGCACGGATGTGGAGAGATAGGAACACTCCTACATTGCTGGTGGGACTGCAAACTAGTTCAATGTCTATAGAAAGCAATATGGAGATACCTTAAAGCAATACAAGTGGATCTACCTTTTGACCCAGCAATACTATTACTGGGCATCTACCCAAAAGAACAAAAAACACTCTATAAAAAAGATACCTGCACTTGAATGTTTATAGCAGCACAGTTCACAACTGCAAAGATGTGGAAACAACCCAAGTGCCCATCAATACATGAGTGGATTAATAAAATGTGGTATATGTATACCATGGAGTACTATTCAGCTATAAGAAACAACGGTGATACAGCACCTCTTGTATTTTCCTGGATAGAGCTGGAACCCATTCTACTAAGTGAAGTATCCCAAGAATGGAAAAATAAGCACCACATGTACTCACCAGCAAATTGGTTTCACTGATCAACACCTAAGTGGATATATAGGAATAGCATTTATTGGGTGTTGGGCAGGTGGGAGGGGAAAGAAGGGACAGGTGGGAGGAGGGAGGAGGGGATGGGTATATACATACATAATGAGTGCAATGTGTACCATCTGGGGGATGGACACATTTGAAGCTCTGACTTGAGGGGGGAGGGGGGCAAGGGCAATATATGTAACCTTAACATTTGTACCCCCATAATATGCTGGAAAAAAAATTAAAAACAAAACAAAAATCTCTGCAACATAAGGAAGAAAAATGTTCACTCTTTCCCTATAGCTGCAAAAATGCCCACACTATGCTGCCTCTATTAAAGCTGATCTAATATGAAGTGAATTGTGAACATTCACAAAGAAATTTGTCTTACTTGCCTGTCTGGTATCCCTGAAAGTGGTTTTCGTACAAAAGAATCTTGTAAGACATCAATTTATACCCATCTAGAATTGTAGCCATATTATGTGAAAGTAAATCTTTAACCTCTAAACTCAAGAAAATAATTTAATTCTGATCCAATGGCCATAGTTTTTTTATTTGTTGCTCTAGTAATACCATTTTAGTTAAAATCTCCTTAAAAGTATTAAAAACAATTAAAAAGTTCCTTTGCAAAATCTAGAGGATAAATGATTCTTATATCATAGAAGTCTGATAAAACCATAACTGTGGTAGACTGTTTTCTCAAACTGAAAAGTTTTAGAGTCTTTGTTTCCTATCAATTATCAAAACTAATGTAAGTATGAGATATTCCAATTTAATTTTTCAAATGAAAATATCTTTTTATAAAATAAAAATTTATTTCATAATTATTTTAAGGTTAAAAGCATTTAGATTTGTATTACTAACAAAAGAAAAATGAAATTATCTTCACCTTTTAACTGTAAAGAAATAACCAGAAACCTTTATCATTTGGCTCTTGATATTTTTCTCCCTGCTTAACACAAGCAAGGGGTTAGGGAATGTGTTCATCTGCCCTTCAATGAGTGATGCCGCATAGTATAAAACCACTTTACAATATCTTAAAAAGTAGAAGAAACAATATGTGGACATAATTCTTTTCATCAGGACATAAAAATTCCTAGAGAATATTGAATTCTTTGTTCCTTAATAAAATCTTTTTACTTAAAAATCATATTTTATATTTGCTTAGTCTCAAAGTATCTCCTTACAAACTCATGTTAATTACAAAAGAAACTACAGTAATTATAAGAAAAATACTTTAACCAAATTTTAAATTAATCTCACTAATAAAGGACCGATAGACTTTATGTGCTTCTGATGTCATATCCTGAAGAAAGCATACTACTTAGGTTGTATTCCAGCCAAAAATGGATCAGCTCATTCCAATAATGAAGAAAAAGCAAACAAATACAAATTAAGGGACATTCTATAAGATTACTAGCTTGTATTCTTCAGAAATATCAATCTTATACAAGACAAGGACTGAGAAACTAAGTTTAAAGTAACTGAAGAGACAACCAAATGCAAAACATAATCCTCAATTGGGTTTGGTACTAGAGAAACAATAGTTGCAATAAGAGACATCAGGTGGACTATTGACAACATTGGATTATAGATAAAATGAAATTATTGATAAAATGAATGAACAAATTATAGATAAAATGAAATTATTATATCAATTTAAATTTCTTAATTTGATAACTGAACTATGGTTATGTAAGAGAAGATTATTTTTCTTAAGAAAGATACACTGAAGCATTAAGGCATAAAGGGCTATGATATATGCAACCTCTTAGTGGTTTAATGTATCAATATATGGGTAAAGGGAGAGAATTATAAGGCAAATGTGGCAAAATGTTGAAAATTGGTGAATTTGGGAAAGGCCATATGGAAATTCTTTGTACTATCCTCTAATGTTTCTGAAAGTTTAAAATTATTTTAAAATAAAAATTTTAAAAATCACCCTTCCAGATTAAATAGATATTAATGTATAATAATTTTCACCACAAAACTACTTTATAAAAGCAAGATATGTACAAATGCTTTAAACAGTGACAAGTTAAAGAGCTTGTATCAGGTATGGCTCAATAGAGACAGCTTTCTTCATAAAAAGATGTCTTCCTACAAAAAACAAGACAGTTATTCTAAACTGTATTTAGTGGCATTGTGATAAAAATCTGGTAACAGTTTATGTACCAGCACTACACTTGGAGTAGCACTGGTCTAAAATATTGTCTTTTTGCAATCAGTCACTCAATAACTAACTACTACTTAAAAAATTATGCATATGCATTTGGAAGAAAATACACTAAGTTATAACCAGTTAAATCTGGGTAGCATAATTGAAGGTGATTTTTATTTTCTTCTTGTATTTTCTAATATTTCTGCAATGAACATGGATTACTTTTGTAATAAGAAAAGCAAAAGTAATCTTTGAAAAAAGAATAAGTGAAAAAGAATTTAATAACAGGCAGTCACATTTATTAGAATTTGCATCCTATGTCAAAACACAATATTTTGTTTTAATGTTTACATACTACCAAGTTTTTCTAAAAGGATCTTACTTACAGCTGATCTTGAAGTTCCACAATTATATATTCTAATTGTTCCTTCTCCAATTTATGGGCCAGATCAGAATCTTCAATCCTTTGAAGTAGTATTTTATTTTGGGAGACAGATTCAGATAGCTGGTTCTCTCGAAGTCGTAAGAGTTCTTCAAGATAACCCTGGAAATACAATATCACCAAGACATAGGAATTGCAAATTTCTAATATATATCTTTAAGATAAATGCTGAGAGCTTAAATGTCATTACTAGCCATACTGTAATGAAATAATACTGAAGTAATGTTTAGAAATTAGTAAAAAAATTGTTTTAATTGAATATAAAAATTTAACACACATTCTCCATTATTTAAAGCTCTTCACTGAAGTTTGAGAAAATATATTTGTAATTTAAGGCAAAATTTAGTTAAAACATAATTTCTAAGAATCACAACAGTAATAAATGTATGACTCCTACGTTCAAAATACAGACTTAATTACAGAATGACCAAGTAGAAAGCTGCCTTTATATCATTATTTTTCAAAAACATATTGATATTAACATTTTAGCATTAACGTATTAGTGCAAGGCAGTATAATGTTTTAGTTAGGCCTGCAGGCTTACAGACTGCCTACTGTCATATTCCAATTTTATCACTTATCAGTTGTGTCTTTGGGCAAGGTAATTAATCTCTCTGTGCCATAGTTTTATCATCTAAAAAAATGGGAACAATAAGAGTACCTAGTTGGGATAATTAAATGAATCAATATAGGTAAAGTGCTTAGAAGAGCACTGGCACATTGTATGCTATTATTATTAGCAAAAACCTAATAGATACGAGACTTCTTCGATTGCTCTCTTATCCTTTTACTTATTTACTGTCTCTTTGTCCTTCTGCCCTGCTTTTCTGGGTGACCTTATTAAATTTATCCTACAAACCTTTCTACTAAATTTTTTAATTCAGAAAATCATCTTTTTAATTTTTAATAGCTCTTTCAGATTCTCTGATTGCTTTTCTCTCATGGCATCCTATTCTTTTTAGTTGCCATATACTTTTGAATTCTTCTGAGGATATTAATTAGAATCTTTTTTAAGTACTCTTTTATCCTATTACATGTTATCCTATTCATGTGTCATCAACAAACTGTTATAGCTACTTTAGCTTTATGATACATGTCAATAGCAGTTCTCCTCTCAAGAGCTTCTTTTTCATAGTTTTCCCTGATAATTCTCAGGTATGTCTCTATATTATTAAATCTAAAAAATTAAATATAAAGTTAATTTTTACAAATAAAATACTTCATATATAAATAGCTCAATATAAACTATATATGAATACTTATAAATATTGGTAATTAAATAATACTTATATACCCACCACCTAGATTAATCACCAAAACTTTAAGAGCCAATATAATGCCTTCCCTTATCACACTCTTATGCCTCCTCTGCAAAGGTAAGTACCCTGAAATGTGTGTTTATCATCCCTTTGCATTTCATCCTGGTTTTACCACAGATTAATATCATCTTAAACAATATATTGTTTAGTTTTATGGTTTTTGTCTATATTCTTTTGAAACTTGCTTTTTCATCAAACTGGTAAGTCTAAGTATAGTTCATTTACCTCAATACTGTATAGTATTCCATTTATGAATATTGTACTTTGTTCACTCTCCTGTCAGTGTCCATTTGGATTATTTTAGGTTTTCATTAACATAAAATTGCTATGAACACATGCAGTTATGTCTCCTGGTACATGCTTCCAAGAGATTCTAAAAGATATGTCTAGCAGTTGAATTAAGTGATTTTTGACAATGGATAAATACCTTCTGTTCCAGGGTAAGCTGATACTTTTGTTTAACTCTCTTACACTTGTTGAACCAGCTGTTCTCATCCATGATGAAGGGAGGGCCGACGCTCTCTGGAGTACTGCTTTCACTGCTACTGCTTCCCAAAGTCCTTAGCTCCTCTTCGTCACTGCTGATGCTATCAGAACTGGGAATATCAAATTTTTTAAAAGAAATAAAGTTAATAATATGTTAAGATTTTATTCTTAAACACTTTCATATTTGTAAGCTACTGTTCAACAAACTCCAAAATATTTGGCACTAAATAAAGGATAATAATAGTGATGTTATTTATAAAGATTTTAGCTTCTGAAATAAATGTCAAGCTAGCAAGGGCTGCTGACTCCCTCTTCACAAAACCATGCCTAGAGATGCTACAGAAATTCAAGTGAGTTGCAAATCTAAGGAATTAACACTAAAACTGTGAGAATGACCAGAAAAGAGAGAATAGATTCCCAGAGAAGAAAACCAGAAACTCTAGACATGCTGGGAAGAGCTAGCTAGCTTCTTTTCACTGTACTAGGTAGATCACCACCTGTCTAATCCCTATGACAAGGCAGAGAAACAGCTTTACCAGCTAATGCCAGTGGGGTGTAACACAGGGTAACATTTAAGGTCCGTTCAGCTTTGGCAAGATGATAACAACAGATTCAAAGGAACTAGTCATTCCTAAGCATCTCCTACTGGGAGGAAGAAGAAGAGGCAGAGGTAAAGAAGTGAGAATATCCATCACAATCCATATCTAAAATTCCTCATGACATGGGTATGGCAAGAGGAGCACAGAATAAGTTTAAAAAATGGGAAGGGAAAAACTAAATGGAGAGAAAAGCATGCTAAGACTGCTTTAGAAGATGCTAAGATGACTGATTTAGAAGATGATATTGGTGTTAATATACTTTAAAAAACGGCCTGGCACAGTGGCCCACACCTGTAATCCCAGCACTTGGGAAATCAAAACAGGAGGATTGCTTGAAGCCAGGTTTAGGACCAGCCTGGACAACATAGCAAGAAGCAGGACCCTGTCTCTAAAAAAAAAAAAAAATAGAAAAATTAGCCGAGTGTGGTATTATTTGCCTGTAGTCCCAGCAACTCAGGAGTCTTTGAAGTAGGAGGATTGCTTGAGCTCAGGAGTTCGAGACCAGCCTGAGCAAGAGTGAGATCCTGTCTCTACTAAAAACAGAAAAATTATCTGGATGTGGTGTTGCACACCTGTAGTCCCACCTACTCAGGAGCATGAGACAGGAGGATCACTTAAGCCCAGGAGTTTGAGGCTGTAGTGAGCTACTAGGACGCCATTGCACTCTACCCACGGTGACAGAGTGAGACTCTCTGTCTAAAAAATAAATAAATAAATAAATAATAGGAAAAAGTAAAATTTAAAATACAATAACAGATAAGAAACAGAAACATAAAACAGTCTGTATAACCTTCAAAGTATTAAAGTAAATTATGATCTCTCAAATGGAGGAGCAAATTAAAAACCACTACAAAAAAGGCAAAACAAACAATGAGATGGCAAAAGTAAGCCCTAGTACAAAAGTAATTACAAAAAATTTAAATGAGTTAAATTCTATAACCAAAAGCCATATGCTCAGGTTTTATTAAAATAAGGGCCAAAAATAAGTTGTTTATAATAAGACACACATAAATACCAGTAAGTAAAACTGAAGAGATGGAAAACACCAAGAAAATATGAACCAAAAGAAATCAAGGTCAGAAATTGTAATTTCACAGATTATATAGATATAATGCTGGAAAAGTACATAAGGACTGAAGAAAGACATTATACATTTCATCCTATGTGATCTATGTTTACATCCGTTAGGCCCCTGAGTATGGGGTCCAAGCATGTTACAAGATTGAGTCAGAGACCTCTGCATAAAGAAAGATCTGATCAAGGAGACGTTCTAAGTTGGTGATCCAGAAAACAAACTAATAAATAAACAAATACCAAAGAAAATTTTCCTGTCATGACCATGGCTTTGGGTGGAATGGAGAAAATTACATTAGAAATTACATTATAAAAATACTAACCAAAAAAATAAATAAATAACTGTAAGGACTCTATTAATATCAAACAAAATGAACTTTAAAGAATAAAAATATTACTGTGTATTTATGGTTACTACATGTTGATAAAAATTTTATTACCTCAAGAAAATTTTAAAATTCTAAACTTGTGGGTATCTATTGAGTTAGTTTCAAAAAATATAAAGCAAACAGTAAAGCAAACTACCACATGGAAAAAGAGACAAATATCATAGTGAAAGAATACATCATCTTTATAATTTAAACGGTCAAGCAGATAAAAATGAGAAAGGATAATATTAGAACATCACTGTTAGAACTAATATTAGAACATAATATTAGAACATCACTATTAACAAGCATAATTTAATGACTATAGGACCTAATCATTGGAAAACTGACAATTCTAGACCATTTCTCAACAAATTTTAAGGAACTGTGATTACATAGACCACATTCACTAACCACAACAATAACAAAAAGCCATGAAAAAATATCTTAAAATTATACTTCAAATATCCTGTGGTCAAAAAATACTTATAATGAAATTATATTAAAACTGAATGAAAAATAAAAAAAAGTTTATTGAGCTTATGCAGGTACTAAAGTAGTACTTCAAGGGATATTTATAGTCTATATACTTATAAGAAAAGAAGGAAATTTAAGTATTGAGAAAGAAAAGATCATCGCAAACTCAGGAAATAGATGGAATAATGAAAATAATGATGGAAATAGTGACCTAGAAGATAATGATATAACAGAGGACCAACAAGAAATGTATTCTTTAAAACACTAATGAAATTGACAAACTTTGGCAAGAATATTTTTAAAAAAAGAAAGCAAAAATAAAAATTATGAACACAAAAGATAACCTAACTACCACTGTAAGGGAGATTTAAAAGATATTAAAAGAAATTTCTTTGAACATAATGATATAAAATTTTGAAAATGATAATGAAAGAATTTACCAAAACTTAATCAATAAGAAATAGAAAATTGGAATGACCATATGACTATGGATGAAGTTAAATCAGTTATTTATTTATTTATTTATTTATTTATTTATTTATTTATTTATTTATGTATTTATTTATTTATTTCAGCATATTATGGGGTTATAATGTTTAGGTTACATATAATGCCTTTGACCCACCTGAGTCAGAGCTTCAAGCATGTCCATCCCCTAGACAGTATGCACTGCACCCATTAGGTGTGTATATGTACCCATCCCCCCTTCCACCTGCCTGACACCCAGTGAATGTTACTACTGTATGTGAACCTAAGTGTTGGTCCGTTAAGTTAGTTAATACCAATTTCATGGTGAGTACATGTGGTACTTGTTTTTCCATTCTTGTGATACTTCACTTAGTAGAATGGGCTCCAGCTCTATCCAGGACAATACAAGAGGTGCTACAGCACCATTGTTTTTTGTGGCTGAGTAGAACTCCATGGTACACATATACCACATTTTATTAATCCACTCATGTATTGATGGGCAACTGGGTCGTTTACATATCTTTGCAACTGTGAATTGTGCTGCTATAAACATTCTAGTGCAGATGTCTTTTTTAATAGAATGTCTTTTGTTCTTTTGGGTAGATGCCCAGTAAGGGGACTGCTGGATCAAATGGTAGTTCTACTTTTGGTTCTTTGAGGTATCTCCAAATTACTTTCCACAGAGGTTGTACTAGTTTGCAGTCCCACCAGCAATGTAGGAGTGTTCCTATCTATCTGCATCCACATTAACATTTATTGTTTTGGGACTTTTTGATAAAGGCCATTCTCACTGGAGATAAGTGATATCTTATTGTGGTTTTGATTTGCATTTCTCTAATGATTAGAGATGTTGAGCATTTTTTTCGTATGTTTGTTGGCCATTAGTCTGTCTTCTTTTGAAAAGTTTCTATTCATGTCCTCTGCCCACTTTTTTCTAGGGTTAATTTTTGCTTGCTGATTTTCCTGAGTTATACATAGATTCTAGTTATCAACCCTTTATCGTATGTGTAGCATGTGAATATTTTCTCCCATTTTGTAGGCTGTCTGTTTGCTTTCGTTATAGTTTCCTGGCCATGAAGGAACTTTTTAATTTCATTAGGTCCCATTTATTTATTTTTGTTCATGCTGTGATTGCCTTTGGGGTCTTTTTCATAAATTCTTTGCTTAGGCCACTGTCTAGAAGAGTTTTTCCAACATTTTCTTTTAGAATTTTTATAGTTTTGTTCCCTAGGTTTAAGTCTGTTATCCACCATGAGTTGATTTTTGTGAGAGGTTAACAGTGAGGATCCTGTTTGAGTCTTCTACATGTTGCTATCCAATTTTCCCAGTACCATTGATTGAATATGGATTCTTTTCCCCAGTTTATATTTAATCAGTAATTTTAAAAAACTTTCCACAAAGAAAATACCTGTGAAAATGCTTTTACAGACTGAGCTCTATCAAAAATTTAAAAAATGTTTTGTAATTTCAATCTGATACACACTCTTACAGATTAACAAAAAAAGCCTCCCTGAAATCCTTTATGTCACCAATATAACTTTGATTTTGCAAGTAGACAGTATAGGAAAGGAAAATAAAAAGTATATCCTACCCATGAACTCATACACGCACAGATGTAAAAATCCTAAACAGAATATTTAAAATGTAATACAATAAGGGATTAAAAAGACAACACACTATCATCCATGATGAGTTTATTCCAGAAAGACAAGGAAATGTAAGGAAAGTTAAATAATTCTATTAATATAATTTACCATGCCAACCCATTAAAGGAGAAAAACCATATAATAATTTTAATAAATACAGAAAAAGTTCATGATAAATTTAAAATATCCATTTATGATTAAAAAAGCAAACAAAAACCAATGTTTTAAAAACACCTCATAGCACCTTAAGAATAGAAAACATTCTTAACCTAATAGAGGGTATTCATAAGCAAAATAAAACAAAAATTAAAAAATCCCACCCAAATTTAGAGCAAATATTATATTGAATGGTGAAACATTAAAAAGATTTCTTTTAAAATCAAGCCCAAAACCAAGAATGCCCAGAATTACTTTATTTATTCATTTGTATATAAACCTTTATGTCTGTTTTTCTCAACTGGAAAAAAAGCATCCTATAACAGAGACCTTGTCTATTTTGTTTAACTTCTAATCCCTAACACCTAGAATACAACAGAACCATCCTAGTAGCTCAATAAACATTTATTACTCATGCATAATTAAAGAACTGGGAAGGATACCATGTTAAAAAAGAACAGTGGGAGATATTCTGGTCTTATTATAGTAGCAAACTGTCAAGTTCCCTTTTTCCCCCCAGGAAATCACCTAAATGCAAGAAAGAAAACAAGAAAAAAACCTCACAGACTCTACTTTTGGGAAATGGAATCATAAAATATGAGGCTTTTGTGCTTGGTATATTTCCCTTAGCATAATATTTTCAAGGTTTATCCAAGTTGTAGCAGGTATCAGTGCTTCAATTCATTTTATATGGCTGAATAATATTCCATTGTATGGATATACCACATTTATTTACCCATTCATCAACTGATAGACATTTGGGTTGTTCCACTCTGGGCTATTAAGAATAATCACCATATATTTTTAATTCTCTAGGGAAGAAGGAAAATTGATACCTGCAAATGGAAATTCTGATATATATGGTAATATGCTTGACTTTGAGGAACTGTCAAACTTCTTTCCATAGCAACTGTACCATCATATATTCCCCTACCAGAAATACAACTTCTCCACATTCTCACCAATACTTACTGATTTACGTTTTTGTTTGTTTTGTTTTGGTTATAGCTATCCTAATGGGTGTGAAGTAGTGTCTCATTGTGGTTTGAATTTGCATTTCCCTAATGACTAATCATGTTGAGAATCTTTTCATGTGTTTGTCCACACAGCACATCTTTGGAGAGATGTTTATTCAAGTCCTTTGTCCATTTTTAAATTGGGTTGTTTATTGTTTATTGCTAAGTTGTAAGAGTTCTTTATATATTCTGGATACTAGACCCTTATTAGGTACTTGAGTGGCAAAAATTTTCTACTAGTCCCTGGGAGGCTTTTTTACTTTTTTGATGGTGTCCTTTGATATACAACTTTTTAATTTTGATAAAGTCTAATTTAGCTATTTTTTCATTTGTTATTTGTTATTTTAGTGTCATATTTAAAAAACAGCTACCTAATTCAAGGTTATGAAAATATACACCTATGTTTTTATAGTTTTAGTTCTTACATTTAGGTCTTAGATCCATTTTGAATTTTTGTATATGGTATGAGTTTAAGGTCCAAATTTATTCTTTTGCACATGGATATTCAGTTGTCCCAGCACCATTTGGTGAAAAAACCACTTTCCTCCATCAAATGGTTTTGGCATCCTTTTCAAAAACCTACTGACCACAGATGTGTGGGTTGAATTCTGGAATTTTAATTTAATTCTGTTGGTTTACATGTCTATCCTTGTGCTAGTACCCTACTATTTTGATTACTGGAGCTTTGTAGCAAATTCTGAAATCAGGACATATGAATCCTCCAATCCTGTACTTCTTTTTCAAAACTGTTTTGGCTACTTGGGGTCCTCTTGTAATTCTATACAATTTTTAGGATCAGCTTCTCTATTTCTACAGAAAAAAAAACCAATGTTATAATTTTCATAGCTACTGCATTAACTCTTAGATCAATTCCAGGAGTACTACCCTCTTAAATGCCACTTAATACCCCTTAATATTAAGTGTTTCAATCCATGAATAAGGATATCTTTTATGTACTTAGGCCTTTAATTGCTTTCAACAATGTAGCTTTTTAGGGAGAGGCAAAGAAACACACTGTAACCAAAATGTCTAAAAAAAAAATGTTTTTTATTAATGGAAGGTGAACAGGTGGAAGGGGGGAGAAGGGTTAGGGTACACACTTTCATGGTGGGTGCAGGGCACACCACTTGAAGACGACATGCTTGAAGCTCTGGCAGAGCGGGGTGGGGAGGGAGGCAGGGGCAAGATATGTAACCCTAACGATATTTGTACCCACAGAATTTGGGAAAAAATAAATAAATAATTTTTTTTAAAAGTTTAAATTAATTTAAGTTTAATTTAAATTAAAAATTCAGTTCCTCAGTCACACAAGTCGCATTTTAAGTACTGAATAGCCACATGTGGCCAGTGACTACTGCATTGGATATCACCAACTAAAGAAATAGGTATTTGTGGGAATTATAGTTACGGTAATTGATGCTGTAAATAAGTATAAATGGGATATAATCATCCATTAAGAGAAAAAAAACTATATCACAAAGAAAATTCAACTATATAGTGTACATATAAAACATATCTAAAACCAAGTGATTTGTCTATAGTTTCTTTTAGAGTTTTGATGTAAACAATTCAGCAAGAATCAATCTTGCTGACTGAAACAAGACTGCATAAAGATTCACTAGGTAAATATAAACAAGAAGACTGTGATTATATTATTAGTATCAGAAGCAGTTACCTTTGGATTAAAAAGCCCTATATGATAGTAATAAAGGCAGATGATAATTCTAAGTCTGTTTACCAAGTAACAAAGCATCAACACTCATCAGGCAAAAACTGTAAGAAAGATACTGAAAAACATTAGCAGTGGGGGACTGCCATTCACCTTGGCAATCACAGATCACATGGACAACAATTGAGGATAACAGATGATCTAAACCACATAATTAACATGACAGTCTACAACTGTTATAACTCCTCTGGAAAATAATTTGACATCATCTACTGGAGTTGAAGACAGACATACCTTTTGACCTAGCAATTATACTCTTGAGAAACACTCATGCAATGCACACAAGGAAATATATGGAAACATTCATAGCAACATTATACATTCTAGTTCTAAACTGAAACTTTCCCATATAGCAATTAACAGTAAAATGGATAAACAATTGTTATATAATGAAATATAATGATGTTATGAAAATTAATGACTGACAGCTACATACAACACAAATGAATTGTATGCATATAATGCTGTGAATAATATAAACCCTCAACTGCTTAGCCACTTTTTATCTAAGTATTTTATGTAGCTTTTTTCTGATGTACTAATCCAAACAGGAATATATAGCTTCTTCTCCTTTATATACTGAACAATCTCTACCATTTTGTGGTATAAAAGATATTAAAATGAAAAGGGAAATACCAATTCAACCTATTAATAAGCCAATTAGCATTACTGATCATGAAGTTTTTCTTTTTAGAAAGATTTAAAGTAACCTATCATAAAGAACCAATAATTTAAAATCAAATTGCCTCCATGGAAATATTATCTATATTACACACATTTAAAAAACTATTAGATTTCTAATTTTAAGAAGCAGTCTTTCCCTCACAATTATTGTTTTTAATTTATTTAGAATGTGATGCATATTCATTATAGAAAATTTGGTATATACAGAAAGGTAGAAAAAAGTAATCCCATCCCTGCATCTGTTCTTGTCAAAGTCAGCAGTGATATCTCATTGCCAAATCCAAGTAAGACAAGGAGACTGATCGCTGAATTTGGCAATGATAAGTGTGACTGCTCTGTTCAGAGATCTTCTGGTTTTCCCTCACAAACTTTTCTTCCTTTAGTCTTTCCCATTACTATTCCCAAGAATAAGTAGTTCTGTCATTATGGCTGCTTATGCTGAAAATTTTGGAGTCATCCTTAAATTCTCTCTGTTATAACCCACATAGAATCCGTCAGCAAATCCTTTGGCAACTTGATCTCAGTACCCTAACACTCTATTCTTCCTTCTCCTTCATCAGCCAAAATATTTTCACATTCCTAGCTCTGAAATATTAGGGATGTCTCTTACTAGATTGAGAGTTTCTTCAGGACAGAGAATGTGTTTTTTTTTTCTTTTTCCCCGCACAAGTTCATAAAAGCCCCTATATATACTCTTGACATCTATGTATCCCTGGCACCTAGGAAAATTTCCTCCATCTTAGAAAATGCATCTTGAATATATGTGTGTGCAAATACTATATATGTACATATTTTATACATATACCCAGTACCTTACAGCTTTGGCCTGATTATAACATTTTGGAAGTATATGATTCTATTCAGGAATTTAATTTTTCAAGCAGACCTTAGAAATATCTATAGATTTCATTTAATTAATTTTCAATGCTGATGAGATTATGGGAAATCCAGATCACTCATACAATACTGGTAATAGGATAAATTGGTACAACTCTTTTATAAGACACACTTTAAGTGTCATCAAATTTTTCATTGAATTTACCTGAATATCCTCCAAAAGTTACAATAGAAACAAAAGGAATATTGATTTGTATAAGGATGTTCACTATTCTTTTCTTAATAATGGAGACAAAATGGAAAAAAGCCTAAATAATAAATTATAGTTTTGAAATCGCAGTGAACCATTTCAGAGCTATTAAAGTTATAATAGCTACAGTAATATAAATAAATGCTTTTGTTATTAAAAAAACTATATGCTAGGATTACAATTATGTAAAAAGTGTGTATTTATATAAATTCTAAAAATGCAACTGGAGTTTATAATCCTTAATAATTTCTCACACTGAAACAAATGTTTCGTACAAAGTAGTTTTAATTATATGAACACTGCACAGCAAGACATTCAACTATAAATTAAGATATTAAAAACATATTTCAAAATGTCAAATACCTTTGGGTAAACTTCAAATATGGTGTATAGTCTATTACAGCAGGAAAGTTGCCATCCAATCCCTCTCCCTTTAGGCAGAAGCTAAGACAATAGATAATAAATATTCTACATTAATACGTAAAATTTTAAATCAAAGTTAAGTGTTATAAACAATCTCTTGCTAGAGACATTTTTTCATAAAACTGCAGGTCAATTATTGTAGTTTACTTGTTATAAATAAATATCTCAATAAAAAACATTCTACCTTCAATACCAATGACAAAGCACTGTACAAGTAAATGTACTCTTATGTAAATGTATCAAGCTTAAGTAAAATTTACTAAGAAATCTGTTCAAATCTTGTCTCTTTATTTGATACTCTCTTGGTCTTTATTGGACTTTCAACAGGTCAATGGAGGATTTTCAAAAAAGATTTGTTCTTTACATTTAGATACAAATTCTCAGATTACACTGAATATCCCCCCAAAAGATCTGACTGATTAGAAAACAAGAGTTTTCAAAACTATCTGAATAGGTGAAAAGGCTTGGATCTTAGTCCTATGTAGGACTCTGAAAAATCTTCTAATCTCTAATCAATCCTTTCTGAAGCCATGGGAACAAGAAAAAGATTAGGAAACTTGTCTGAAATCATACTGTGAGTCTTTCACCACCAGTGAAGGTATTCTAAATCTCCTGGTCCCCCAATTCAGTAATCTGTTTTTGTGTAATGGTACATACATAAGATAACAAACAAAAAAAAGGTGTTTGGTTTTATGGTTACTATTGTTAAGAGAAAAAAATTACATCTTCGAGAAACATAAACCTAGGAATAGTTATAAGACATAGGTTGATCTTTCAAAGGAAAAAAATTCATCTCCCACCTTAGGGTTTCTTTCAGAAGTCTGTCTGCTAAAATATTTGTTCTAATATATTAATATTGAGTGCATGTGTATATTTTTCCAATCTTGAATAAGGAGACAAAGTGGTAACACTTTATATGGGCTTTTCTTCATTTATAGAAATATTGCTACTGTATCTTTAAGATACATGCTGCTAGCTGATTATACACTATCAATGGGTTACACTAAACCACAAGTTAATATTCTTATCTGGGGTTTTTGTTTTTTTTTTATAACAAACAACAAATAAACAAAACCTAGACTATAAAAAATTTAGAGTCTGGGAAATGCCTTATAAAAAGTTAACATCCTTAGAGGCATCAAAAAGACAACCTTCACACTCCATCTATCATACTCATCCTAAAAAATTAAGCTAATTAACCTAATACTAGTTTATTAAATCTCAGAAAAAAGTTAGACTTACAGAATGATAAATATTTAGAAAGGAAGTGATTTACTAGAAAAAAAATCAGTGAAAATAAGCAGCATTATTTTTTAATTCAAGACCTAAAACTAGATTTCCATTAATCTTAATGTTCTTGAATTTTTAAATGATATATTTCAATTAAAATATAATATTTCCTTCATTCTTATGTTTTTCTTATACACAAATCTTTTATCTTTAATGTAATGTAAAATCTGGGCACAATTAAAGAGATAAAAAAAATGTTTCCATAAATCTAAAAAGAACTTACATTGTCAATTTTTAGCACTTGTTATCTTAGTGTGGAACCAATTCATCTTAATAAAAGCAAATATTAACAATATTATTTGATAATCTAGATACATAACATAAGAAAAATAAGAAACCCAAGATATTCTATCAGGATCTTCTTTATCCTATCACATGAGATAATGAGAATCTTTTTGGCTTTGAATCTATGTTTAGTCTGTTTCTTATTTTAAAATAGTAGGTGAAAAACACTACGAGAAAAGATACATAAACTTCCTTTTGTGAAGATGCAGGGGATGTAGTCTAAGCTTTTCTTTTATCCAAACTAGAGAGCAAGCCTGTTAGTTACTTAAGTTTGAGACAGTCTCTTTTCTGACAGCAAATCAGTTTAGAAAACAAATTGATGTCATTTGGAAAGGGCATGACATGAATCAAATATCAATATCCAACTGTGCGTTTTACTTAGAAAACTGAAAGAAAAAAATCCTCAGTAGAAACTATTATAAGGTTGAATGTTTAAAAGCTGAATGCATTTGGTTATATTAAGTACCTGAAATCAATAGCATTGAGTCCTAGCAGCATGCCAGCAAGCATATTTGCTTCCTCACCCAAGACAATTGCTCCATCTTCATAAAATCTCCTAAAAAATGAAAAGGATGAATATGTAAATATTTGAAACAAAGTGAAGTTTATTTCAGAGAAATCATTTACAGCCCAAACTATTGGAGGAAGGGCTAAATTTCATTTAATTTATATTTAAAAAAACCCATACTTTGATCACTGAAGTTTTGAAGATATTTAGACCAAACAAAAAAAATCCACAAAAAATCAAAGAAACAAAAATCTGCCACTGTAACAAAAAGCATTCTAAGTGTTTTTCCCCCTTTTAAAAAGAATCCTCAAAGTCACTACTTCAATGGCTCTAGCCTGCTCAGCATTTTTCCCTAATAGTAAAGCACTATAAAGTAAAGTGAAAGGAGGAAAACTGAGGATCATTTATACTCGTCTATTTTCAAAACTAAGTAGACTCAAGTTTATACATAAAACAAAATGAATTTCTGTTCTTCTGTAATTTGAAGGGTTATTGACTAAAATAAAAATTTGGAAGGTGTGATCATTAGTAATTTATGCTAACCTTAATCCTGCAATCCTAATAGAGCAGATGGCTATATATGAAAAAAAAGTATTCATTATCTCTTTGATAAAAATGTGAATATGAATCTTATCTCTGTTAAAACTGCAAAGCCTTCTGTTTTGGTTATTATTAAGTTTTTAAAAATATTTTTGAAAAACTATAATATGGGCTTAAGATATGTTTCCAAAAAAGAATGTAAGATCATTTAATTTACTTCTTTTTCAAAAAGTACTATATAAAAACTAGTAAATGTCAGTAACCAGGGATCATGAGCATTACACTGATACATGTATTCATATTACATATAGACAATGAATACCACTCTATACCACCTCACTAAAATGAAAACATTTTAGTAAATGAAATGTCTTGCTCTTTTCAGTATTCCTGAGTTAATAAAGGCTATAAAAAGATTCTAATGCTCATAATCCTAACATCAATTGTGAATAGTTGTTTACAGTTTACCAAGTACTTTTACAAACATATAATTTGGTACATGTAAAAAAAACCTCATGAATTAAATGCAGAAGGAATGATCATTAGTTTCAAATTTACTGTCAAGGAAAGTAAGACATTAAAACAATTTGCCCAATTTACATAGATGAGCTGCTCAAAGAGGCAACCCAATTCTTTTTCCTTTAAATTCTATGTATTTTCTATTAGACCACATCACTTTTTGTAAAACCAAAATATTTTAAGAGAACTTAACCTATGCTATGCTATGGTGCATAAAGAATTTTAAATGAATAAAAAATATAAAAAGGAAAATAATAGACAACTATTTGCTCTCTAACAGACACAGGGCTATAAACAAATACGGTGTGAAGACTAGCTCGGAATAAGTGTTTTCTGTGTCCTTGAACTTACAGGAATTGCTTTTACTGATTTACATAAAAGGAAAGACTAAAACTTCCAGCCTAACAAAGATTAGTAAAACAAATAGAAGGATTTTTTACATAGTCTATTGAGGTTTTCTACAGAAAGATAAAGATATTTAGACAAATATAGATGGAGGCATAGATATAGATATCAGAGATTTTTGTTCTTGCCTCAATGACTAAGTTGACTATTCGCAGAATATACTATTGACTCTTGGAAGAACTATGCTTCCAGTGGTTCCAGATGACCAAATTCTATGTAACACATGTTTTAGAAAAGAATTCTAAAAAAAATCCCAGTTTTTTATACTGGAAATCACCCATTATTCCTAATAGTTCTTATATAAGAAAAGGTCTACTGTTATAGACCTTTTATTATTATTGTGACTTTTTTTATTCCCCATGTTGATCCCACCATTGTTTTAAATTACATTCTAAAAATCAGATCAAAACTATTCTTGCTTGCTAATGTAAACATTGTATTTGAAAGGGTTGAAGAATATCAAAACCAAGAAATTAACTGCTTTCAGAGATTCTTTTTAAACTCTAAAGGTCTTTTATACATGTGCATATATAGTATTGTTTTAATAAGGAGGTTTTGTGGCTTTGGTTTTAGTCAATAGTAAATGAGTAAATTCTCTAAGCTAATGATTTTTTTAAGATAAGTGAAATGCTTGAAATCTGTAAAATCAATAATTCCACTCAAATAAAACTATATCTCCAGCATAACACTGCATAGACCTGACTTATAATAGCAATAAAGAGAAGAGGAGAACGGAAGAAGGACTAGTTAAGAGGATTGTTCATTATATGCTGAACTTTTTCATTATTAGTTCTGGTTAAGAAAAAAAGTATTTTTCAGAAAATGTACTTCTAAGTTTGGGATAATATATTTTAAAATAATTATATTTAAAAGAACACTGTATTGAAGTGATCTGAAAAGATAGTATTTTTATCATTTAATCAAAGACTTAAGTCATTCATGTATATTAAAGAGGCAGAAGCTATCTTGAAAAATTAATTTATTCCCTTAATCAAGCTAACATATCAATAATTTTCACAGAAAAATGATTCCTGTTATCAGTACTTTCAAACACTTCAAAACATTATAAAATTTTAACCTTTTCATTTTATTGCATAGAAAAATTGAAACATTAATAAAGTTTGCTTATATAACCAAGGTTATATAATAAATAAGCCAAGAGTAAAGCCTGAGATGACTAATTCAATAATAGTAATAGTAGGTCATACAGTAAATAAATTTCCTTTCTTTTGTTAAAATTTTTCATTGTTTGAGACAGAGTCTCACTCTGTTGCCTGGGCTAGAGTGCAGTGGCATCATCACAGCTCACAGCAACCTCAAACTCCTGGGCTCAAGTGATCTTCCTGCCTGACCCTCCGGAGTGGTTGGGACTATAGGCACATACCACAACGCCCAGATAATTTTTATATTTTTAGTAGAGAGGGGGTTGCTCTTGCCCAGATTGTTCTGGAACTCCTAAGCAAGTGATCCTCCCTCCTTGGCCACCCAGAGTGCTGGGATTACAGGCATGAGCCACTGTACCCAGCCAAAAAATATTTTTTGTTCTAAAGAAAATATTAATATTTTTATGAAAAGAATCTAAGCAAAACAATGTACTACTGAATTTCAAGAACACATTATAAATATTGAAAGTACCAAGATAAAATATATATATGAAACTTCCATTTATAGATTTATATATTAGACTATATTTTTAAATGTAGTTTTGTATTTTAGAAACAAGGAAAAATTACAAGTAACTACTTAATATTAGTATGACATAGAAGAAAAACTTCCCATTCTTATTAAGTATATTCTTTCCAATTACTTACATGTTGGCTAGAAAAATATTAGTGACTAGAAAAGTATTTAAAATAACACCCTTATAAGAATAATATGCTTTTTATCTTATTACATGTGACTTAACTCTAATTGAAATATATCCTTATAATGCTACCTTAGTGTAGTGTTCATTCTGTAAAACTATTTTAAAGCCTTTTTGTAACTCAATAACAAATATCCTTTGGATGAGATCCAAGGTGAAAAACCAATATAAATTATGTTGACACAACATAATGTCATGCTTCAAATTTCCTTTTTATTGGGAGTCAGAAGTTATTCTATCCACTGAGAGTACAACATTAAAATATGAAAAAATTTATCTTATAAGCCAAATAAATGTCATTATGGATATTCTTGTTCTCTTCCCCAGTTTAACCTAAGAAATTATTATACAAGGAGGGGATAAAAAAATTCCCTCTCATGACACGTAAAACAAATTATAGCATTATAAATAAATGTTATATTCAAAGTCAAGCTGCATCAAAATGAAAAAGACTAAAAAGTCATTTTTTAGTCATTCAAATGACTAAAAGTCATTTCCAAAGGTCTTGATAAGAATGTGAAAGTTTATTAATTATTTTATCAACAAATATATAATAAATTCATACTATGTGACAAGTACGGTACTAGGTACTATAGTTACAATGGTGAACAAGCTAGACATGGTCCCTCTCTATGGAGCTTATAGTCTAAGGAAATAGATAACAAACAAAAGAAAAAGATAATTATAGATGATGATAAATGCTAAAAAGTAAATAAATAGCTTGTTGAGGTAGAGAAAAACTGAAGGAGAACCCAACTTTGTAGAGAATCATGCATTACCTGAGACCTTAGCCTACAGAAGTCTGATCACACAAGGCTTTGTAGGCCATATGACATTAATAATAATAGTGAACATTTATTGAGTGACAGGCAATTATACTGCTTTACGTGAATTATCTTCTTTAACTTTGCCACCACCTATTACTTAAGCAACTTGCCCAAGATTCCACAGCTACAGGGTAGTGAAACCAGGGTTTGACTCCAGGAAATATGATTGAGTAACTTTATGGTTAATGTAATGAGAAAGAGTTTCAATATTTTAAGTAGGAATTACAAAATCTCTTTTACTTTTAAGATCTGTTGGAAGTAAGGTGGCCACTGGAAGGGGCATACTGGAAGCTCAGTCAGAAAACCAACAGGTGAGTACAGACAAGAGAGAAGAGAGATCTAGAGCACTGTGACAGTCGCGAGGATGAAGGTGAATGACTAGATCCAAAATAGATTCTGAAGGTAGGATCAATGAGACTTGCTAATGATTGACTCTGACTTGATCAACATATATGTAAGCAGTGACGCCATTTGCTAAGAAAGGGTGAATAGGGTTACAGGGCGGAAAAATCATTATATCTAAACTACCTACCTAGCTGGAAATTTACATGTAGTATCGTAATCATATAGATGGTATTTAAAGCTGGGTAATGGATGAAATTCTAGGAAGAGAGAGTAGATAGAAAAATGAACAGAGAAAGAAGAGAAGACAAAGCAGATGTGAGTCCAGAGAATACTGACAGAAGCTATGAAGTGGAAAACAAGACAGAAAAAGTGACTGAGAAAGAGCAATTACAGAGATAGAAGGGAAAGCCAGGAAATGTGTAATTTAAAGGCAATGAGGATTTTCAAGAAAAAAGAAGTGGTCAATTGGCACTAGAAGTGGGAGATGGAGTATAATGTGGACAGAGAAATGTCCATTACATTGGGTAGCGTGTAGAGTATATTGCTAT